AAAATTCATAAAAATTTTGTAAGTTTAAATTTTTACATGTTTTTTTAAAACCAGTATTAATTTAATTATATTGTATTGCAGGTTAAAGAAAATCTCTTAACTCAAAAATATCTTGATGAAGTATATGCTGTAAAAACTATATTTTTGAATTTTATTCCTAATTACAATGAGAAAAAAATAAAAGGAAAGTGGATTTATGAGAAACAAAATCCCCTGCCTCCTGTATCATAAGGACAATAGAAAAAAATGAATAAATAATAGTTTGTGACAAGACCTCAAATAAAATAATACTTGCTGTATACCAAAACTGAATTGGCCCTAATATACTTGAACTTATAAAAAACACAATTGCTAATATGTTTGTTTTATAACAACAAGTTGCTCGATTATTTGAAATAAAAAAACTGGACTAAGGTGCTTTAACAGCAGCAGAGTATATTGTATTAAATAAATTTATTTTCGATTTTTTAAATTTTATTAACATGTAAATACTTGCAAATATCTTTTAACCAAAGAAACTGGAATTTTTACACATGTCCACAACATACCTGTTGAATTGCAAGGATCTGAAAGACAATATTTGCAAGAAGAAAATGTTATAATAATGAATAGCTTCCTTTTTAACTATGCCATGAATATATTTCCCAAGGATGTGACTTCAAGTATCCAAAAAAAAAACGAAAAATTTGACCTTTTCCAATTGAATAACAACTAGTATGGTGCTGTTGATAAAGGAATTATGATTTCTTGCAATGGCAAAAAAATTTTTTTAAACCATTCTTTAGGTTTTTGTAAGGCCTATATAGCTTGAAGATATAGTAAGTTTGCACATACTGATATTAATTTTTTAGAACATGCAATTGCAGCAATCTGTTTAAGAGGAATATAACCTGCCAATAGTAGTGAATTTGATTGTCAGGAAGGATATTTCAATGGTGGTAATTTTTATCTAGTCAAATGGGAAATTAAAATAGAAATAAAAAATATTTTAAAAAAAAATTTTAAATTTTTAAAAATTTAAAGTATTGCCAATTTAAATTTTTAATATTTTTTTAGAAAATACTCTTTACTGTTGGCCAAAAGATGAATTGCATGGCACTACAGTCTTGCTGATAGAGAGTGTAACTTGTGAACTGTCACAAAATTTAGTCAAAAAAACAGTCAGCTGTAAAAAAATAGAGAAAAGGAAAAGAAGAAAAATATCATGTCAATTACCGATATAACCAATTATTAACAGATTCTTATGCTTTGCAAGCTCTTGAAAATTCGATAAAAAAAAATAGTGAAAAAAATAATACTAATTATAAAGGAACATATATAAATATAGAGACAATAACCGATCATGGATAGATCAGTAATTTTAATTTATATTTAAAAATAAAAAATTTTCAATTAATAACCTTTTAAATTAAATTAATGTAAATATGTTATAATAAAAATTACTATTGACAAAATAATTGAATCGAATTGAATTGAATCAGATATGAATCAAATCAAGTAAAATTAAATTTGAACCAGATTTGAATTGAATCGAATCAAGCTATATCATATTCGATTCGAATTCAAATTGTACATCTAAAAACAAATTGAATCGAATTTAGCTAAAATCTGATCTGATTCGATCTATTGCGATTCCTAGTTAAGGCAATGGTTGTTATTAATAACCAGACTTTTAAAATTGATATAATTAAGAGAAGTTAGAATTTTAGAATGACCAGGACAATTCTTGAGAGAAGACTTCAAAGTATTTGATTCACAAAACTTTTTTATAATATTCTATACAAAAGATCTTTTGTCACCAACAACTGCTATAATGGTATAAATCAAATCTTTTCTGAGATAACTGTAGATTATAGAACCCTTCTGTTTTTTAGTAAGATTTTTCTTACTACTTATTTTTTGAAACAATTCATTATAAGCCACTAATTATTCAAAAAAAAATTTAATTAATATAAACATATATCTTTTTTGATATTACATATATTGTTTAGATAATATAAAAAGCAAAAAAAATTAATTTTATTTAAAAAAAGTAGTTTGACTTATTTATTGCATATCTTTTTTAAAACAAAACAGAATTACATAAAATTTTAATATGTTTTATTTTTAGATTTATTAAATAAATTATAAAAATTTTAAATTATATTTATTTGTTAGATTTAAAATAATTTAAAAAAAATATTTGCAATAATATAGTAAGTCACTGTATTTAAAAAACTAAACTATATATTAAAATAGTTTATATTATTAATTTGAAGTATTAACAATTTATTTAATATTTATTTTTTACTATTATTTGATATCTCTTGTTATATTATCAAACATTAAAAATTTTTATTCAAAAAATTCCATATTAAAAAACTGTAATTAATTTACTTCTGTTAACTAATCAATATTTCAAACTTAATTAATTAAATATTATCAATTATTCAAATAATTTTATATAATCAAAATATAATATAATAATTAATATAAACAAAATTTGATTTGATAATAATAATTAAAACAAAATTACATTATTAATAAATAAATTAATTATTATATAAACAAGAATATCAACAATTATAATTACAAAATATAATTCAAACAATATATCAATAATACTACTATTTATTTTGAACAGTAGCCAGACTATTATTAAAAGTAGTATTCTATTTTAGATAAGTAAATCAATTAGAATAACATGTTTAATTTAAGATATTCTTTATATTATAATTAGTTTTTTTATATATTTCTTTTGATTATTATTAAATATTCAAATTCAAATAATAATATTATTATTATCATTTACAATAATTCAAGATATATTTATTAAGAAGATATATTATTAATATTATTATATACTTTGGATTATAACTTGATCATTTCAAAAAGTGCCACTATACTTTAAAGAAGTGAAACTATCAAAGCAATATTATGTATCATTTATATTATAATTAATTTTCTTGTAATTTTATTTTTGTTTAATATTTTCTTTTTTCACTTTTATATTTTCTTAAATCTTATTTCATATAATTTTAAGTAGATTTTTATAATTACTTAATATTATATTTAATATATATTGGTTTTAATATTCATTTTTTTTTATTGCTTAGATAGTTTTTATAAGCAAGTTAACATTAAACCTATTGATTAATTGGTTACATGAAAGATGTTATTACTTTTTTTATATAAAATATTTTAAAATTTTTATGATATAATTAAATAATAATATTTATCTATTAAAAAAAAAATACGTAATAATTAATATTTAACTTATTGTAAATATATAAAAAATAGTATATCTGAAATAAATAAAAAATAGTATTTATTATAATGAAGGTTTAACAAAATCTTGAATTAAATATCTATTGATTTTAGTTAAACATGTGACTTTAACAGATTGAGGGATAATATAATTACAAGTTATTATAACATTATTCGATTATAAATGAATATACTGTAATTATACTCCAATAAAAGAAAAACAAAAATTTGGAGGCTTTTAATGCATGCTAAACAATATGGAAAATCATCAAATTGATGGGCGGTTTCAGATGTTATAGTGGGCGTTGTGACTTTGATCAAGATAATGGTCCGTGTAAGACACGAAAATTTTGAAATGGAAGGTGATGCAGAGATTGATTATGTCGTACTTTGAAAAGCATAAGAGTTGTGTAGCATAGATTGACATCACCGTACAGTTTTTCATGTGGAAGATCACGTAATGTATATGTTCTGACCTAATCGCGAAAATACCGAACTTTTTGGGGTCCTTTTTATCCGCAAATCTATCATTGGATAGATAATAAATTGATCTATAAAATGCGGTACGTACGCCTCGTCGTTTTAACAATTCGAACTTATCTCGCTACAATGGAAAATCAAAAGAACGGAATTGACACTCTTTACAAAGGGTTTCTTGAACCACTCAATTTTATGAAACCCCAACCCAAGGATTTGACTTATGGAAGAGCCTCTATTCCGTATTCTCCAGAAGAAAAAGTTCTTCGTGAAGAACCCTATATTTGCACAGAACATAATTTACCTTTTCCTACTAGTGATGAACCCGAAGGTTTCGTGTATTATCAAGCTTGGTCGTTACCCACCGCAAGCAAACAACGAAACACTGACATCATCTACGTTCATGGGTTGAATGAGTACGGAGGACGTTTTTCAGAATTTGCCATTCCCATATTAGAACAAGGCTTCCGCATTATTGCGTTGGACCTTCCAAGTTTCGGAAGGTCTAGTGGTTTGCATGCATTCTTCAAAAATTGGCTGGACCTTATTGAAGCAGTTCATTGTGTTGTCAATCATGTAAAGCAAACGAATGAGAATGAAAACAAAAAAAGGAATTTGATTTTATATGGATGTTCTATGGGCGGAATGGTTGTCGCATCATGCGCAATTAAATATCCTGATACTTTCGACGCGTTTGGCCTTTCGGCGCCTCTTGTATACGTAGAAGAAGAAAGTCGTCCTAGCAAGTTTCTCGAGACAGTAGCGGATGTTTTGAACAAAACTCCTTTAGGACGTATGCCGATAGCCGAAGCAAATCGTGGAAAAAACAGTAGTGACCCAACTGTAGAAGAGGTTATTATTATTAAACATAATTTTCACGTTTTTAATGTTCTAAATGCTCTTATCCATTTGCTTATTATCGGTTGTCTTTTTTTTTAGAAATTTTTGGCTGATCCATTGACTTATCACGGAGATCTGCGCGTCTCCACTGGTTTAACATTGAGAGATGGTATTGAATGGTTGCAATCGAATCTCGGAAATATCACAAAACCATTTTTAGTACAGCATGGCATGAATGATCGTGCTACTCAAGTTAAAGGATCAAGAGAATTGTTTGATAAGTCACAGACTCCAGAAGATAAAAAAGTTATTTTACTATACGAAGATTGCGAGCACGAGATGTTCAGAGACCCTGTTGCTGGTAAAAAAGTTTTATCTGATGCGATCAATTGGATGGTTACTACCGACGAGAGATTATGCAGTTCTTAGATTTAGGAAGGATCGTTGTAATTGTTTACAGAGCAACTATGTACAGTTTTATGCAGTCAACTTTTTACGCCGAACTAATGGTTTTGGTTAAAAAATTTTCGCTATGTATAGAAAAAAAATTTTTTATAACGAATCTTTAAATTTTGAAAATTTTATATTCGTTATAGAGTCTTAGTATATTTATTAGCCAACTAAATAAATCTAAATGTATTTATATTTTATTGATATAATACTACTTTAACATAAACAACTTACCATAAATTCTCAAAACAACGGGCATCTGCGCTTTTATTTTGAATATACTGTATGCGCGTTACGACCATGTGCATTATTTCAAAACAGGAATTAATTTTCATGTCATCACATAGTAGTACACAGCATCAATGATGCGATCTACTTGGGACAGTTCATTTACCATATTGCACATAAATTTCGTGTTAAAATTTATAAAGTTTATTTAAAAAGATAATATTTACAATATTAAAAAATAATAATTCACGCACCTTATATCTAGCTTTTCAAAAAAAAAAAAACTCTGGAAATATAGACAGAGGTCTTCGGATTTGTATGTCGACTAGAGGTAATGAACTTTTGGATCGAGATATTAATCATAGCTCTACTCGTGTTGGCGATGAAGAATCGGTGATAGGTTGTCTAGCTGATATTAAGAATTAGGACCCCATGAACCTACAGGTCATGATGATATTCTTTGGATCGTTCAGCCATCTAATTACAAAGTTCCATGGTACTTTGCAACCAGGATAGGCTGTTTAAATACTCACCAAGCAAATCCAACTTCTGCTAGTCACGACAAACCCAAGAAGACATGCTATACATCATTCATCCTATAATGTCATCTCTCATATCGTCTCACAAGAAACATAACCAACTCTACTTCCGGAATCAGTAGACATCTCGAAGTTCGACGAATAAAATAAAGAAAGTCAAATAAAAATAAAAGAAAGTAACATTTGACTTTTTTGCAACGCATAGACAGAGTACCAAGGTTGTATGCCGACCAAGTAAAACATGTGCAAAAATCCCATGACACCTTTACAACCATTACTAATAGTCACGACGACCCAGAAATACAATGCTATAATGTTACTTGTCCATAAGTCGTTTCTTGAAACATTGACTTGACAAAAGATTAAAAAAGTGTATTTTTTTTTTCAGCCCAAGAAAGGAAAGGAAAGGACAAAAAAGAAAAGCCATTAAGTATGAAGTGAAAAGGATTTTGGGGGCATAGAGAGGAAAAGTTGTTTATTATTTTTTACATGAAAAACCACCTATTTTATATTAGAGATAAAAAGTTCTTTTGTAACGTGTACGCGTAGTATCAATAAGTTACACGCTTTTACATCATGCACATCGTGCACGTGTAAACGTATAAGATAACACCAGAACGCCCGGGTCACCTGATAATGGCGCCACATTGTAATGCCACATCTTTAATTATATGTACAATCTTATGGGTTCAGCCATCGAAGTATCAAAAAATTGATTTATTGAATAAATTTTCATTAATAATTTAGACTGACAAACATAAATAACAATGTATTATAGTAGAAGCAAATTCCTAAGAACAAGCGTAGTCAGAATTATACTGTTGGTGTTCCAAGGTTTCTAAAATTTGGACATCACAACCACTCGAAATTTCATAAGGAAAAGTCGAAAGTTCCGGAAGGTGAATCATATGTTGCCCAAAATATATCCTTCCCTAATTTATAAAAAATTATATATAAAATAACTGTCAATTACCAGGTTAATAGTAATCTAATTTCTTCTATGTTACATGTATACCTTATTTCTTCTATACGTTGCCAGGGTGGAGTAAGGTTCTTTGGTCTTCTCACCGGTTTCATGATCTATACAGATCATGTGACATCTTCGGCAAGGGCCTATTAACTAATTTTGTTTCCAACTAAATCAAAAATCAAAATATTGATGTGATACATAACGGAAAGTTTGTGAATCTTCCTACCTTAAACACCTGTCCACCAATCTTAACCTTCTTCCATTGATCTTCGTCATAAGCTTCGATATTCCCATTAATCACAAGGTTTGCTCTAAAACAATCTACCACAATCCCTTTACTTCCATCATCCTTTTCTTTTCTCTCATTCTCATGATTATTGGCACCATCCATTATTTTTCGATTAACATTCTTTACGCTTTTCTGAGAAACTAGCAGAAATGGTGATTCGTTTGATAACGAAAGCGGAGAACCTGCGGTCGTTGAAGGTTCTACGTTGAGTAAATGAGGTTTTATAAATCTGCGGTTAACGGAAGAATTCTCGGAAGTTGGTTGCCGGGCCAGTCTACATGTTATTCCAAGGAATTCAGTGAACCACTGAGAGATATGATTGGAGGTATAAACTAACGTTTGAATACTTTATGATCACATAATAGAATTGTATTAAAAATAATTTAAGTCCGAATAATTTGGTAAAAAAAACTGGTACTGATTAAAAAGGGGTACACACTTATCGCCACAAACTTGTGAAGAACACTTAGAAGACTCAATTTCATTCGGGAACTCATTCAACCTAATATGCAATGGTTCTTGACCTTTTTCGTAGAATTTTTACACAAATTAAATAAAAATGAACCACAATTGCATTCTTTACGATAACTATTCTTACCAGGCGCAGTAATAACTAATAATTCTTTCCCTCTTAACACTATTGGTCGTATCAATGCCATCTTCGGATATCTAAGTATTTTCAAATAAATCCATCAGTACAAGAAAGAAATACATTCAATCTTACAAATTAAAGTTAATAAAGATTAAAATATATTCTCACACTTTTTGACTTAACGCCCTTCCAGTCTCGGAATTCACCAGCATCCATTCTCGATCATATAATAAACCTTGACTTGTCACAGTCCATGATGTTGATGGTGGTATCGTATACCCATGACATGACTTAATAGGATCTATTGAATATAATCAGATATAGAATAATTCGAAAAATCTCTGTACGTTGAAAAGAGAGAAAGCAGATAGTTCTTTCATACACAACGTCAACCTTTCCAGAAATATCTGTGATTTATTTTGAACGACATTTTTATTCTGTGTAATATAATTGGTGGGAGTCTCTTCGACAAAATATTTCTTGAAGAAATCTAGCCATATAATAATATCTTCAATAGTTGACATAGCGCCCAATGAGATGCGGATCGAACCAGTGGGTTTGTTATTGAATATATCTTTATCATCACTACATATTTTACCAGCCTTTAAGAAAAATGTCAGGGACTATTTTATAACCAAAGTCAAATGTTAATTCTTAGTAGAAAGGTACCTTATAATTGGCCATCGATTCATCTCCCGAGATATTTACCCATCTAGCCATACTCCCAGGATTACAATGAGTCCCTGCACTTATGTAAATCTGATTGACACTTGCCAACTCTTCTAATTCATTGAATCCCACCCAAGATCCGTCAGCGCGCCTCACATTAAAATTAAGAACAGGCCCCTGTTGGGTATTATCGGAAAAGTCCCTATCTGAATAAATAACGCACACAGGTAAATCATTCCAATGATGAAACGATATCATTTTTCTACTAAGGTATGTAATCAATGATGTCACGTGTTCCCTGACAAATCCGAAATTTGTGTACAATCGTTCCATTACGTCGAAAGAATGATCAAGTGCAATAATGTCCAGAAAATTTATTGTGCCGTCCTCATGACGCCCGCTTAGGTCCTCTCGAAATTCTTGCCATTGCTTGTCGTAGGCAATAGCATTTACTGAATAAACATAAATAACATTCATTTATATTATGTAGTAAAAAAAAAACGCTGAAGATAATGAAACCAGGAATATACTCGTTCCACCACCAAAATAGCGTTTCCTTAATAACGGTTTTAATTCTGATTTTATCAGTAGAGCACCTAACCCAGTAGGTAATCCAAATATCTTGTAAAAACTCATTGTTATAAAATCTGGTGAAACATCTTTGTCAGCCAAAGACAGTGTTGAAGTTGTCAGGTAAGCAGCGGCATCCAATAAAACCAAAATTTTGGAATTTTCCGTATCAAGTTGTTTTATTTGTGTTGACCATGTTAGAGGATACCTTTGACCGGAAAAATTGCATTGCGCCGGATAGGCAAAAAGATTGTATATTATTTCATTGCTCTTTTCTGTTGTTTTTCGGTTCATGAAATTAAAATTCGTAAGATCTTTGTGCGAAAATAATTTCTTCATGTCACTTTCAATTACAGCTTGAATGTCAGGAGAATTGATTTCTTCCGCAAATCGTCTAAGTCCTATTAAGCTATTGTGAGACTCTCTCAAGTATTTGTAACCACTTTGATTGGCAGTCCAAGGGAACATCTCGCCGACCAGTTTAATAGAAGCGGTGGCATTTTGAGTAAATATCACTTGATATTCTCCGGGATTTGCATTGAAATGTCTTAAAACTCGAGCCCTAATTTGCTCTACCCGATGGGAAGTATGTTGAGCGCATGGATTTTTTGAGTGCGGATTGCTATAAAGATTATTCATGAGGTCATTCGTGTAAGAGATAACTGAACTCTTCGAATAAATGGTTGACCCAGAATGATCAAGGTATGTAACCTCTTGTGAAAATTGTTCATTTCTTCAATAATGGAACAAATCCCTAAATTCGAAAATTTAAAGGAAACCTCGAATTTACCTTTCAACTTGGGATATTCAATCTCGCGTATCGAATTAATGGTGCCATTATATCCGTACTTGGAAGAAAATTCTTCCAAAAACTTTGATTTTTCAAAATTTTCTGGAAAGGTTGTTTGAGAAACGTAAAGAGTCATTGTTTGAATGTTTTAACAAGTTATGGGCATGCGATGTGCATTACATGAACAAGATATTACTTAAATAGGTTACGTAATTTAAAAAAAAATTTTTTTTTAATTTTTTTAAACATAAAAATTAAATAACTTGTATTAATTTTAATTATTATATATTGTTGTAGAATAATTAATTCTATAATATATTATTATATTATTATATAATAACCCTTCTTTTATTATTTATAACTTATCGTAGAACCTTGTCAATTTTTATTATTATACTATTTATTTATAAAAAAAATTATATAATATATTATAATAATAATTTATTTTTGTATATTTAAAACTAGTATTATTATAATATTAATAAATTTAATTAGACGAAAAACTCTGAAGTTCTTTGATATGAAATATCTTGGAAAACTTATGATTTTATTAGAGATCTTTAAAATAAAAAATCAATACTGTATAAACTTTAAAACCCTTTGAATTTTTCAAAGTTTTCAAAAGATTATTTATTTATTTTTTTAGATATATTTTAATATTAAAACCATTCATATAATTATTTTTTTTTTTTTTTTTTTTTTTTTTTTTAAATTGGCTAAGGGCATTAGATGCGTGACATTTATTAAACATTTGTTTTAGTCAGTAC